TCTGTAATCACTGATGACCTTAGGTGCTGCTGAGAAGGAAGTGGGTTTTAGCCCACATGTCCTGTTTTGTCTTTATACTCTACTCATTGCTATAGCTCCTGAATACTTCCAGAAGTCCATTAAACAGGCTAACATCTGTACAATAACATCTGCTGTGCCTTTTTTGTCTCCTCCCCAGGGGAAATGTGTGGCAGCGTGGCTTGTTCTATTTTAAATGGATTTCCAAAAAAACAAAAAAGCACATTAAAAAAACCCCACTCTGAGATAAGTCATCTTTGAGAGCTTAACAAAAGCATGTGAGAAGTGTGCACTTATAAGGTAAAGAGATAGAAATGTGCTGTATATTTCAAACAGCAAGGTGGGTTTTGGCCCTTCCTTCCAGTGTGAGTTTGTTCAATAAACCAGTCTAGAGAAGGTCCTTTCTCCTGAGCTGAGTTGCTCTTCTCTGTAGAAAGTTTCTCTGAGCTAAAGGATCAAAGCTGCTGACTTGAGCCTTCAGTCTGGAGCTCTGATTAGCCTTGTGGGCAGAATGCCCTGTGCTGCCTACTGCTGTTTGAAATCCAACTCCTGGAGTGCAGTTTCCAGCTGCTGTGCTGCAGGTAGTGGCTGCAGTCTTCCAACAGAGCAATCTGCCTCTCAAATTTTCTCAAAGACGGTGCAGGAAAATACAAGGCTTTCTTAATCAAACAGTGTTCACAAAGGTTTTTGTACATGTAACTGAAACTTTATTGTTTGCTTTCCTATCCTGCCTACCTCATCTGAGGAGAGTTTCTCTTAAACTTATTAATAATTTACCACTTTCAGAGCTTCTTTTTCTAATTTTATCCTTCCTTTTGTTAGTATCAGAATGACTGTTTCTGTGTCAGTAGATCATATTTTCATTTGTAAAACATTGCTGTTGCATCACAGGTGATGACTGTGTTCTTAGTTCTAGCCAAACTTGCTAGGTAGTCACATGTATAGAAACTTAAAACTTTCGGCTGAGTGACTGTTTTGGGTTAATCCTAGAGTAGTTTAGCTTTGGAAGGGAACTTTGCATGTCATCTCATCGAACCTCCCACTCAAACCAGGGCCGATTTCAGAGTTGTATTAGGTTGCTCTAGACCTTGTACTGACATCCTGACCATAGTTGTAATTATGAAGACTGTATTTAGAAAAACCATATATATGCTAGTTTATCATTATCATTGTTTTAACCAGCAGTTAAGGTATTGTACTAAACCACTTTTTTTCTTTTGCTTTGTGGTCTGTTCTAATTAAGTCTGGTTGCAAAAGTCATTACCTTTATCTTGCTCATTTTGAATAAGTGTGTGGGTGTGGGAAAACCTTTCTGGTTCAGCTGTTTAATGAAATCTGACTTAAGGAGGAAAAAAAAAGCCAAAAAACTATCTAGTTGGTTTGTATTGTACAGTATACTTCACGCAGTTACTGGGGTTTATTTCCTTTTTGTATACCTGTTCGATAAAGAGTGGTGAAAGCAAGCCCTTGTTTGAATGAGACCCAAAAGCTCCTGTGTGCACCTCTGCATCTCACTTTGGCTACACCACAGCTCCATCTGCTGTTCATGAGCTACAGCTTTCCCTGCGTGTCCAAACGTTTCACTTCAAGATTTGATATTGATTCTTGTGCCTCTTCCCTCTGACTTGGCACATTTTCACACAGTTTTTACTCCTGTGAGGAGATACTCCTTGGGGACACCTCCATACTATGATTTTGACGTTCTGGATTCAGCATTTCTTTGAATAACCAGCAGTCATGGTTTGCTCTGCAGTCTCTGTCTGCTTTACAATCATTAGGTTTGGTGGTTTTTTTTCTTTTTACTTGTGTTATGTGTCTTACCTTTGCAAACACAAGTTACTACCAGGTATAAAGCCCCATCATGTAGCAATAAAGGAGCTTCTGCTCTTCCGTTGAGTAATAGGTACTTGTGATTTTTTTTTTTTGTTGGTTGGTTGGTTGTTTTTTTGTCTGGAGAAGCCTGGACTTGTGACTGTGCTGCCAGGGATCTTACATGTGTCCATGTTTTGATGTGTTATGAATATGATGAACAGAGGCAGTTTATTGCTGCGGGACTATCAAATTTTTACAGACTGAGGGAGAATAGGAAAGTATAACATGGCTGATGGCAATGAGGGAGTCTCCAACGTGTGTCAGAGTCAAGACAGAGAAACATGGCACTTTGATCAATGTGGTAACTAAAAAAGAACTTAAATACCTGTACTTTTCTCTCTCTCAGTATTGAGAGGCAGACTCACTAGAGTATTGGGCTTTTGGGGTTTGTTTTGGGGAAGTAGATTGACAGATCACATCAAAGAAAAAACACAGTATCTTTAAAGAAAAGTAGCCTTAATTTGGGAAAACATATGCATTTTAGAGTATCACTATCCTAATTTTCCAGTACCTGTGGAAAGGAACAGTAAAATGGGCTTTAGAATCTGTTCTGCACAATACCTCACTGGATAAGCTCAACCTGGTGCCAAAATTTTTTTCTCTCTGGTTCCTTGTGTGGTTTTGTTTGTTTGTTTGTTTTTGGTTGTGTTTTTGTTTGTTTTTTGTTTTGGTTGGTGGGGGTCTGTTTGTTTGTTTGTTTTGGGGGGTTTGTTCGTTTTGTTTAGTCTTCCCCCTCCACTCTTTTTTTTTTTTCTTTTTTCTGTTGCACAGTTGAATACTTTTTGGGGTGTGGTTTTGTAGTTAGCACTCTGGCTGCAGGCAGGAAGGATGCCGAATCAAGTTTTTAAACTAAATGTTTAATTTTAGAGGATTCCATTAAAGGCGAACAGAACACATGAGCTTGTTTTTCCTATCTCTGGCTAGCAGCCTAACCAGAAAATTTAAATAGAAAAAGAGACTTCTCCCCTTTACAAACAGACCTGGACCAAAATATGTATTAGTTGCACTTTGTAATAGTGTTGGAGTGTATTAAACTATACTTTGACTTTTTAGATGTGCCCTAACTGATCCATCTTTTTCATCGTCTCAGGATCTTGACCAAAGATTTTTTTTCATTTGCTGACCTTGTTCTGCCTCTCTACATCTAATCATTCTTGATTGTGCTTGATGTAGAAAACGAAACTAAAATTAATAATAACTGTGCAAATGGAAAAGGAGCAGGTGAGTTGTCAGTGTAAAATAATCCCAGCATATGTTGTCAGCACTTGAGTTCAGTGAAAGAGCCCTTTTATGGTAACATCAGCATGTACTTACGAGTAAGAGTAAATGGTCCCGTTGAGGAAAACTATAGAACGTACATAAATTACTTTTGCTTGAGTCTGAAGCAGTCAATGAAGATACTTATTGGGGGCAAAGACCTTGTCTCTGGTGTGTTCAGACTACGCACAGACATCTGACTGCTCCTGCTGTTGTAGCAGTGAGCTGTGGCACATGGCTTCCCACTTCAGTCCAAAAGAGAGTTAGCTTTGAAAGAATTTAGAAAAGACATTCTGCAGCAGATTGTATATTTGAAATAAGTTCATGTGGTCTCTTTGACCCAAAGCAAATATAAGTACATGGTGTGGAGTAGCTGGATCCTGCAGATCAAGAGTTAGGCTTTCCTGAGCTGTCTGGAGGAATCTGCCTAGCAGACAGGTCACTACAAAGCAGCAAGTGTGATTTGCTGCTTCTCAACATTACTTTGCAGATTTTTCCAAAACAGGGAATGTGAAAGGTTGGTTCCTGGAGCATGTGACAGATTTGACAGAATTGTGGGTGTAAAGGCGGATGGGTGGTTGAGCAGAGATCCTCAAACCAGCAGATGTCAGGCTGTTACTGCCGGCAAGAACTAGGAAAGGAAAAGGTGAATGTGTGCTGATGGAAGTCGAAACTGGGAAGCTACAGGTCATCTTTAGCTGATGAATAAAAGCAGTGATGACCTGTGGTAATTAAGTAGCATAGGTCTTCTGGAGTGTTCCATGGTTTGGTTTGATTTTTTTTTTTTTTTAAATATTTTATGGTAAAGGCCTGCATGGGTATTCCAGAATAAGATTATACCCATGTGGGGAGTTAACTTGTAAAAGAAATTGATAAACTTTCCAATACAGATGAATGCTTGGGGAAGAGTTGAGGTGGATACTGAATACAAAGTAGTGTGAGTAGAAGTTGAAAAACTGATGTTAGAAATTGAATTTCTAATGAGGAAATAAAGCTAACACTGTGGGGTTTGGGTAAAGGGATATGATGTATAGGCCTGCAATATTTGTAGGGCAATGGAAAGAATTGGGGAGGTTATATGGACTAGTGAAAATTGCAATAAGGAAAAGAAGTGCTCCACAAAACTATCTGAAAAATGTGCCAAGAGCACAAGAACTACAGAGAAATAGTGTTTTCTAAGATTAAAAACCCCAAACAAATAAATTCCCAAAAAACCAAACAAAGAAACAAACAAAAAAAGCAACCAAAACTCATTTTCTAAAAGAATCTGTTTAAATTTCATGCTTATGGAGAATGAAATTATCCAAAGGAAGGAGAAAAGGAAGAGGTGGGATTTTAGTTGGTTGTGGGTTAATGTTTTGGTGTTTGGTTGTTCATTTGTTTTTTAGGGCTTTAGGGTTTTTTTTTCAGGTTTTGTTTGTTTTTTCCAAATAATAAGATTAGGCTAGTAAGGTTTTCCTAAGATTCAAAACATTGTGGGAAGATTTTTTTATTTTTTTTTTTGTTGATACAGTTTTGTTGCATGAAGTACTTTTTGATCTCTTAGCAGATTGGTCCATCTTTCTAAATATATTAGAATATCTCATGTTAAATATGATACTATAAAAAGGGCATGATTTTTTTTATTAATGACTGAAAATAGCATTTCTCCTTCAGTATATACACCTGTAATTTTTGCTGTTTTTCTTCATAAAGCAGAAGAATGTTGATGTATAAGGAATATAAATGAATTCAATTTTTTTTTAATCTTAGTAAAACTTTTACCTTTTTCTTACTTTTCTTTATTTTCCATCTGCAGAGTGACTGTCAGCACTCCCAGTGGATTCCAGGATCAAATCTAGCTCTCTGAATATGTTGTTCCTTGTTCTTACAGATTGATCACTTTGGATTTGATGAAAATCGTACATTCCGGCAGCGGTATCTAGTAGCAGATCAGCACTGGAAGAAAGACAATGGACCAATACTATTTTATACAGGCAATGAAGGAGACATCACGTGGTTCTGCAACAACACGGTGTGTAGAAAATAAATTCTTGAATTACAGTCCTTTCTTCCAGTAATGATTGTTCTGATTGTTATAGGAGGAAAAGGAAGCAGAACAGAAGTACAGAAAAAGTTTTAGGGAGTTCAGGGTGTTGTCTGAAGCCCAAAGAAACCAAAGGGATGCACTGTGTTAACTTCTTAGAGTAGTGAAGAAAATTTCTAGAGGAAACACTATTAGGTGCTTTGAGCTAAGAATTCAGAATTTTGGACCATATCCTAGTACTTATCCTAGTACTTTAGATTCCCCAAGTAAAATGGGAGGTTTTGATGTTTATGTTTTATCACTATTAAGAGAAGTGTGAAGTGAAATGAAAGAGACTGGAAATCAAGGGGGCTGGATGATTCTTGTTCTCTGCAATACCTGTGGAAGTTTTTACTTCCCTGGCTGATACAAATGCAGAATGGAGTGTGTGAGTATTTTTCAGCCTTTCATTACAAAGTCCAGTAACACAACAAGACCAAGCTCAAAGCAATCAAGGCCTGCTTACATACTTTGTTCTGTCGACAGGCAATCTGTGTCTGCCTGTTTCCATAACAGGTGGTAACAAGCTGTTATCGAGTACCATCACGTTGTACTTATTTATTAGTTGAAAATAAGTGTATTACAATGCTCTAGATTGTTGCTTATTGCCAAACAAGTTTTGTGTTTTCTGTAATGTAGTTCTAACTCAAATGCATGCTTTTCTCCTGTAGCCTTTTTTATTTGCTGTGGATGAAGCTCATGTCATAGGAATTCTGTCAGGATTGCTTGTGCGTAATCACAAAACAATTCTGCCTAATGTTTTGCAGCATTAAAATATACATACTTTCTTTGCATGTATCACCTTCTCTGTGTGGGTATCTGTTTTATGTGTTTTCTTCAGTGAGACTTTAAAACCAAATTGCACTCTCTGGTATTTTGATAGTGCCATCTTTCTAATCCAAGAATAAGAGTTGAAATACACTAGACCGAAAGTAGAGACTTTTAAACAAGTTGAATCAATTATTTTCAATGTCTGTTTTCCTCCAACCAGGGTTTTATGTGGGATGTGGCTGAAGAACTTAATGCTATGTTGGTGTTTGCTGAACACAGATATTATGGAGAATCTTTGCCCTTTGGGAATGAGTCTTTCAGCGTAAGTGTCATCTTTGGTCTTCCTTATAGATGTGTTCTATACAAACATAATTCTGCATGTTGTAATCCTTGCCAGGGCAATTAGCGTTAACTTGAGTAAGATGTGAATGTGCTAGAAGAACACAACTATCCTATTTTTGTAACTCTCAATTCTAGGATTAAAAAAAGAAAAAAAATCTGAGATTTTTTTTTTTAGTGCTTCAAGAGACACCTGCAAAGCATATTTTATTTGTTATCAGGCATAGATTTAAACCTTTACAGCTGCTGTGGGGAATAGAAGGACTGCTGCTGGAAGTCTCTCATGCTGTATATAACCTGCTTTCTTTCCTCTCAGGATTCCAAGCATCTGAATTACCTGACATCAGAACAAGCTCTGGCAGACTTTGCAGTACTAGTTGACTACTTAAAGACAACTATTGCAGGCGCCCGTCACAGTCCAGTCGTAGCTATAGGAGGATCTTATGGAGGAATGCTTGCAGCCTGGTTTAGGATGAAATATCCCCATATGGTAGTTGGGTGAGTGTACTCATCCTGCTTAAACAGAGCAGGCATTTGTTACTTCCATGCTATAAATATTACAGCTCTGGGAGAAGTACCATAATTCAAGCTGGCTTGAATTTTTCACTACTGGAAGAAGGAATCAAGTTACTTTGAATTTGGGAAGAGGCACATCTGCCTAATAAAGGCAACTGTAGGTCAGCAGGTACTGGATTCTGTATATTTTCAGAGCTATCTGTTAGATTTGTGAAAACAGCACACGGCATCTAATTTTTTTGAGCGTCTCCAGACTTCCTAATGACTTTAGGCAGGTCTTTAATCTCTTCAATGCCCTAGTTACCCTCTTGGAAAAAAGAATAGTAATTTCCCAACTTTTTTGTGCGGGAGAGTATATTTTTGTGGACAGTGGCTCTCTTAATTTGAGTTTACACAATGTCTAGTGAGAAAGACGTAGTCGCTAGATATGAAAAACATATCGCTAGATATGAAAAACATATCGCTAGATATGAAAAACAATAAACTAATCGAGTCTGAATTTTTACTTCATGTATTTACTGATATCTTTGTACTAGTATCCAAGACTTATATCCTTCAGCAGCCTCTGCATGCAGACCTATGGAACAGTTTTGCAGCATTATGGTTAGTTCACCTAGAGCGCAGTGTCCAAGTGCTGCTTAGACAGTGGCTGTGGGGAGGGTATTGACCAGAGGATGGAATTTCACTTTGCAGAGGTTCAGGGTCTTTTTATGTCCCTTTGCAGAGCTGTGGCAGCCTCCGCCCCAGTCTGGCAGTTTGGTGATTTGGTTCCGTGTGGCGCTTTTTTCAGCATAGTGACCAATGATTTCAAAAAGAGTGGGACAGGCTGCTCAGAAAGCATCCGGAATTCCTGGAATGCTATTAACCACCTTTCCTCAACAGGTAATACCTCACCAATACTTTTTTCAAAGAATAGTAATATTCGGGGTTGTGTTATGGCTTTCACTTGTGTATGTATTGGGTTTTTTGAAACTATATGCCTAGTACTGAAAACTGCCAAGTGAACTTAGCGGGTTTGTTTTAAATGCCTGGTTTCTTGTATCACAAGCTTCTTTCAGACCTGGTGGGATGCAGAATCCAGGTCCAAACATCCCTAAGGTCAGACAAAAGCAGACTTCAGAACCTCAAGGCTTGTATTCCTTTCTGACAAAATAGGCCTGATAGTCATTACTATAAAAAAAAAGTTTGTTTACTGAGACACTCAGGTGGAGAAAATGACTGCAATCCTTATGGACTCAGCGATAGGGACTGACAGGGACTCAGCTGGACTTGAAGATATTGAGGATCTCTTCCAACCTAAGTGATTCTGTGAGTCTACAACTACCTGAAAGGAGGTTGTAGTCAGGTGCTGACTAATATTTGATCTGCTATACTTGTATGTATGTGGAATAATTTCACTAAATTAGTTATACTAAATAAAAATATTTTTTAGCAGAGGAACAAATGACCTATGTGTTAATATTTAGTGTATTGTGCCATTATTTTATCTATTTCTTTTTATTAAAGATGCAGGTTTGCAGTGGCTTTCCAGCACATTTCATTTGTGCAGCCCATTAAAAAATCTTCAGGATGCTGCTGTATTGAAAAATTGGCTGAGTGAAACATGGGTAAACTTGGCTATGGTGAATTATCCTTATAAAGCTGACTTCTTGCAGCCTCTGCCAGCTTGGCCTATACAGGTAATTCAGAACTAATATCTTGTAGAATTGACCATTTGGTTTAACTAATTCTCTCCTTCCCTCCTAGCTTGCACCTTTTCCTTTATTTTTTTGGCTCTGTAGAACCAACATGACTGAGAAAACACAATAGGTTGTATCAAGAGCCTAGAAGAAGAAAAGTGTCAGGGATGATTGAAAAGCTTCAGCTGTGCTGCAGAGCTGCTCTCGAGTAGCAGAAATGCTGCAGAAAAAAGCACACAAAATTAGGGATTCTGGTGCAGGCTTAGTTGACAGAGCTTGCAAGTGAAGAGAAAGTTTTGAGCCTCTGTCCTTTTTGATGTGAGAAAACTAGTGAGACAAAATGTGGATCTCCACAAATGTATTCCTTACAGGGTCACTTCTCAAAGCAGAACCTCTTCACACTTGCAAACCTTCACTTGTGCAGTTCTGTTTATCCACAGTGCTCTCTCCAAGATTTTCATTTTCTTGGAGTGTTTTTATTCATTAAGACCCTGGCTGAATTTCCCTGCAGGACTTTGTGTCACTGTGTAAGGTAGGTTAAGACAGATAAGATAATTAGTATTTCAGGCTACTAAGCAGCAGTTAATTATAAAACAAAAATTTTCATTTGTGTAAAGCTACCTGATGGAGGAGAGAGGGACGTTCATCTGTCCACGTGGCTGTCTGCAAAGGGCAGTATAAACACCTTGAAAATTAGTTCTGCTTTGTTGTCAGTCTGACAGAACCTGAGAAACAGGCTCACCTCCACCACTGTCCATGTTATCTCTGACAGGTATAAATCTAAAATAGAAAAGGCTGCTATTAATCTGGACTGTACTAATATATGAAATCTGAGTTATTTAAGCTGTTCAGATACTCTTTTTCTGAAACAGAAGCTCTAATATGACTCTGAGGATGACAGAGGGGGAAAATGTGGACTAGATGATCTTGGATGTGTTTGCCAACCTTAATGATTCTATGTGTAGAGTAGCTGGATATACGTGTATCTTGCTTAATCTCTGTTGTGAGCTGCCTACATCAAACTGCAGGGAACCCCAATCTGTACCTGGAGCTTCTTTGTTATACATTTGTATGTGTTGTCTTTCATTACAGGGGAGCTAAATACTATTTATTAAATATAATCTATTTTAAAGTGTGGTAAATGGATTGAAAAATTTGGTAAATGAAATATTAAGGTGGCACTGGGTCTTTTTTTCAATTTTTTAGTCAGGAAATATAACGTTTCAGCTTCCTGATAGTAGCATGCACTACACAAATGCAATTTGTGTATACTTTTTGTGATAATGCTCAGGATATATCATCACATATAAAGATGTTTTCTGGAATTGCTCTGACTGTACTTGGACAAGAAATCAATATCCTAGCAGGTATCATGTCCTAATATTTAATACCTATAGATTTAGACTTCCCCTTCTCTCTTTGTTGCAGGAAGTCTGCAAGTTCTTGAAGGATCCCAAGCTCTCTGACAAATTGTTACTGCAGAATATTTTCCAGGCAGTAAATTTATATTACAATTATACAGGAGAAGCCTTATGCTTAGATGTGTCTGAGACTGCAACAAAGAATCTGGGCCAAACTGGTTGGTACTATCAGGTATGCACAGTAGCCTTTCTAAATTGCAACTCACTGAGGTTTTTTTGAGCTAGAGCTGGTAAGAGTTGTCAAGTCATTTACCTGTCAATATATTGTGTCAGATGTATTGATGTACTGATGAGAAATATAGTGACAAACCAAGTATGATTGTAGTGGTGAGGGCAAGGCAGAAAAGAGAAGCAGATTTAGGTTGTATCTTCACTATCTAGCTAGTTGTTGAGTTTCTGCTCTTCATATAGACTGGAAAACTACGTACAGCAGCCAACTGTTTGAAGCTCAACAAGGCCAAGTGCTGGGTCCTGCACTTGAGTCACAACAACCCCAGGCAGCGCTACAGGCTGGGGGAAGAGTGGCTGGAAAGCTGCCCAGAGGAAAACTACTTGGGTGTGCTGGTTGACAGCAACTGACTGTGATTCAGCAGTGTGCTCAGGTGGCCAAGAAGGCCCAGTGGCATCCTGGCTTGTATCAGCAATAGTGTGGCCAGCAAGACCAGGGCAGCGATCATCCTCCTGTACTTGGCGCTGGTGAGGCCGCACCTTGAATCCTGTGTTCAGTTTTGGGCCCCTCACTGCAAGAAGGACATTGAAGTGCTGGAGCGTGTCCAGAGAAGGGGAACAGAGCCAGGGAAGGGTCTGGAGCACAAGTCCTATGAGGACCAGCTGAGGGAACTGAAGGTGTTCAGTCTGGAGAGGAGGAGGCTGAGGAGTGACCTTAATGTTCTCTGCAACTACCTGAAAGGAGATTGTAGCAAGGTGGGGGTCAGTCTCTTAAGTAACAAGCAGTAGAATGAAAAGAGATGGCCTCAAGTTGCACCTGGAGATCTTTAGATTGAATATTAGGAAAAATGTCAAGCATTGAAACAGGCTACCCAGGAAAGTCCTGGAGTCACCATCCCTGGAGGTATTTAAAAGACACTATGCACTTAGGTACACAGTTTAGTGGTGGACTTGGCAGTTTTAGGTTTGTGGTTCAACTCAGCCTTAAAGGGTCTTTTCCAACCTAAATGATTCTGTGATAGTTTGATAGTAATTACTGATCAAATGCTGTTTAAGCTTTCTTTTTTTAATACTGCACTAACAGCTATTGGACAGTCTCCTGGGAATACATCTTATTGATCTGCCGTTTCTTTCAGGCTTGCACTGAGATGGTGATGCCCTTCTGCACAGATGGTGTCCATGACATGTTTGAACCTGAGAAATGGGACTTTGATGCATTTTCAGAAGAGTGTTACAGACTGTGGGGAGTGAGGCCTCGCCCCTCTTGGATTCTTTCTATGTATGGAGGAAAAAACATCAGTTCACACAGCAACATCATCTTCAGGTGAGCCCTGTTTCAGCTTATAGTGTAGAGTCTTCCACCAGTTTGGGTTGTCAGTGAAGAGAAAGTTGGCCTAAGTAGCAAAAGGATCTGTCTACAGCACTCCAGCTGAATAAATGATGGGAATGCTTTGTGTTGCTACTGAGAGTAAAATGGTCAATGTGCAGCGGCTAAAGAAGCCAACTGTTCTGTTACTGCCTCTGTGACTCTAAAAGAAGAATCTGGATTGAGATTCTGCCAAATATAATCTTCCCATGTGGAATCCTTCTTATCTTGTGGCCAAAATCCAGGTTTCCCATGCTGGTAAATTCATCTAACTTTTATGAACCCAAAGCACTGTCACTTCAACAGAAAAGGAAAGTCTAAACAAGCTCTAGCTATAACACAGAATCTCAGTACCAAAATTATTGCTCTGAGTGATAGCGTTGTGGAGGGGCTGGTATAACATTCCTTATCCCTTTGATACAGGAAAGAGAGGCAAGTAACTTGGGGAGTTTCTATTACTGCCAATAGCCCTTTTCTTTTAGTGGTATTTAGGCAAGTTTCAACACAGTTGTATAAGATGCAAATACAAAGACATTTCCATTTTAGTAAGGCATACTGGTAATACAACAAAAGTTTGTTCTGAAACACCTTTATATGTGGACAAAAAGTGAAAGAAATTTTTCAGTCTAGTTCAAAAAACTGGGGCTTGCTGCTTGCTCTCTATTCAGCCTTCACTTTCCTTATTTTTAAGATTAAACTCTGCTATCTTTAGAGGAAGGTTCATGTAGTTGTATTTTTGCTGTGTGGTGATACAGATGAGTGCTGTCTGTTCATCAGGTCCTTATGTGGTAGGGAGGTGTTCAGTACACCCATTGAGGCCTGTGCTTCAGGAGTCCTGACTTGCTGTACCGATTGCCCGCTGTGGGAAGCTCCTGGATATATATTTCTCTGTGCTTTGGTTAAAATTGTGCAAGGCCTTCTCATAAAAAACCCTACCACTTCTATAAAACAAGATCAGAATTAGACTTTTGGACTTCGTAGATAGGTGTGCATTTTAACAGTATAAAATTTTCACTTAAATTAGGGGTTATTTTCTGGATTGCAGCTCTTAACATTGGTCTGTTTGGCTCTAAAGGCCTGTTGCTTTCCTCTTGTATGCCTCTTGCTGTTTCTGTCCTAGCAGAATATCTACTCTGGAGTGAGAAATTCCACCCTCTTTTGGAAAACTTTTTTAATAAAAGAAGTTTGTTGGTTTAACTTAATTTCTGTGGAGTGTTGCTTATTTCCAAGGTCTCACAGCTCTGTGCAGTAGAAATCTGCTTTGTAAGTGATAGACAAGCAAACAAATCTAAGTGTTTAAGAATTTATGCTAGCTGAAGGAGCTGGAAATGAGAAAAGCCTGAAAGCAACCAAATGAATGTAGAAGTTAGTGCTGTACACACAAAGCTTTTGGATCTCAAGCTGGATGTTTCTCTTCAAATACATTGTCAACACTGTACATTTTATATAAGAGCCTTTTATCTTCAAACACTGAAGAGTGCTTTACAAAAAATATCCCAGTGTTTACCTGGGATGTGGCTCCCTGTAGGCTGAAAAGGACTGTGTTTCAAGTGACAGGGAACTTGCACAACAGTGTAGCACAGGAAGGGAAAAATACTACATCTGAAGAGAACTACTGTAGGGTCGATTTATCCAGACGCAGTGGGATTTGGCCAGAATGCTTAAACTGGTGTTGGTGCTTCTCCCTCTGCGAGCAGTACATCACTCTGCAGAGTCAGTCTTGAATGGACTGTATGGTATTAATGCAGGAAACTCCATTGCTATTTTGGTACCTTCCTGGATGTATGTAGTGTGTGAGTGGTTTAGGCTGTGCACAGGTGTTGCTTGCCTGTCCTAGGCAGCACATCTTTATTAAAACTTGTTTGAGGAAATTGGGGTTTTCAGAACACTGTTTCCCCTTTCTTTTCCAGCGATTTTTCACTCCTCTTACTGGTACATGCTGTGTACTTGGTATGGAAGTGCTGTGCAGTGGTGGGAAGTGACATTTTAACACTGTTCATGAATGCAGTGGCAAAGAGCCTGTAGCATTTATAGCGTCTCATCATCAGCGTACTATGGTAGTCAAAATCAGCCCAGGTTATATCAGACAGTACAAAATTTAGTGTGCACAATCTAAAAACGAGTATTTTTCAGTCTGGATGGATCACACCTAGGTTGTATACATCCTTCTGAGTTAGGGCACCCACTGACCCAGTTCTGCACAGGGAAAGGCCAAAAGTGAAGGCTCTGTTATGAGAAGTACTGGAGTTCTGTACAGAAGGGAGAATAGTTAGCACAAAAGGAGGGAACTGGTGGCAATGAAGAGAAGATACAACTATGCCAGACTGAAGAGAAAAGGAGAGAGGAAAAAGTTAATAAAAGGAAACATGGCAGTTGTGGAGAGCCAGCATGTTTAAAAAGGATGCACAGACAGTGCTGCTAAGATTGTGTAAAACTCAGGGCTGGAGGGCTGAGGAGACTGAGGAGAATATAGGAAAGGGATTGCTGTGAGATAGGCAGAACCCTATGTATGCTGTGAAGGAAGTATAGCAATTGAAAACAGGACTACAATGATCATATTTTTCATTAGTTTTGTTTTGTTTTGTTTTGTTTTTTGAAAATCTTACTTGCCTGGCCACTGCTAGAAAGGAATGGCTGACTTTTTTATTCTTTCCCTTCTTTTACTTCTTTGGTTTACATTGGGAAATTCCTGTCCCGTGAGATGGGCAGCTGAGTACTTACATGCATGCTTAGTTTAGCACATTCATTCTAGTTGGTACTGAATTATGTTATTCCATAGAAACTGTTAAGACTTATGATTTTGTGGTGAGCCCTCCATTCCCCCTCCTCTCAGCAAGTCTCACTTGCCAAACTGCGTCAGTGCCTCTAGTGCCATCGTTTGGCAGAGGACACAGCCAGCAGCTTGCAGAAAAGCCGGAGGCTGTGTTGTTTCCTTGTGGCATGCTTAGTTTCCACATGACTAGGACCAAAAGATCCAAGTTCATGTACATCATGGGTCTCTCAGCAACTCATCCCCCTGTTGCCAAGGTGCTCTGCTGATTCAGGTGACCTTTTAAATCCAATGCATTTGGTTTATTGGGCAGCTCTTTATGCTTTTTGTTTTGCAGATACAAAATGTTTCTCTTGTCTGAAGTCATATTTAGAATCACTGGAAGTAAAGAACTACAGAGACTCAAGATACTTGGGGTTTTTTCGGTGTAAAACAAGAAAAGTATTAGTTCAGACCCTATCAGGTTTTCACTGTTAATTATTTCTAAAAAACTTCTTTTTTTACTCCTTATTTTTCTGGTTTGTGTTTTGTTGTTGTTGTTGTTGTTCTTTTTAAGTGCTGCCATTGTGGTATTTTTCTAGCTTTATATCTCTTAATGTCCAAGGATATTTTAATTTCTTAGATCCATCTAGAAGTTTACCCTTGTATGCCATAGCCCATCTCTGTCATTTCCTTTTGTGGGCAGATCCAGTGCTCTGAGTGAGGAACAGATCTAGATTTGCATAGTTCCACAAGTATATGGATGTTGTTTTCTTTGTGCAGAAAGATGGACCATGTGTGGGAAGAGCATTGCTGTAAAGGAAAATAAAATGTAGTGGGGATTATTGGATCAAGTCCAATGCTAGGAATGAGAGATGGAAAACTCTCTCCCCAGCTGAGCTATTGACTTGCTCTAGGGTCTATTATTTGGAGCCATATCTATAGTGCAAGGAATCCCTTCAAATGATTTGGGGTGAGGGAGGAGGGGGAGTAAATGGCATTAAATTGTCCTATTACAGAGGAAGAGTCATTTTAGACAGTTTTTTGGGAGATAAAGGCTTCATTTTAATATGGTTATTTTTAGAAATAAGCGGACTAATGGACTGTCCAAGCATTTCTTTGCGAAACCAGGCTGGCACCCAGCTGAGACAGCAAATGTAGAACTTCCTGAAAATTCAGCTCTAAAGGGGTTCAGTAGGTTATTTGTTTATGGCAGGCTGTGAAGAAGGAAAGTGAAGTGCTTTGATTTGGGAATTTGGAGATGTCTTGTTTACAGGGGAACGTGAACCTTTTATGATGATTACGGGTGGCAGCAGATTTATCTCCAGAGACTTTGGCATTGTTAAAGATTATTATCTGAATTAGCAGATAATTGTGAAGTGTAGCCTAGCTTAAGATGCAGATAGCTCCCTACCTCTGTCAGAAAGGTTTCTCTCAGCAGAGGCGTGGGCACAAGACATTGAGACAGGGCTGAGGTCTGTTTCTGTTGCTGCATATGCAAAACTAGTTGAAAGTTGGGTGAATATGTTGATGTGAAGCTGCAGCTTCACTGCTGACTGCTGTGCACATGTATCCTGATGAAATACTCTTTCCTTATAGCAATGGGGACCTGGACCCGTGGTCTGCAGGTGGGGTGACCCAGAACATCACCAATTCTCTTGTGGCAGTTGTGATCCCAGATGGAGCCCATCACCTGGACCTACGTAGCCGTAACCCTTTGGACCCCAAATCTGTACAGCAAGCTCGAGCCTTGGAAATCTACCACATGAAGCAATGGATTGAAGAGGCCAGGCACAGTCACTGAAGTCACACTGCAACAATTGTGGCTATCATACCTCCATTGGCTTTGCTTGGGAGTAGGACCAGGCCTTACAATGTGGTCATTTGAGCATTTCCCTCCTGCTTCCTCACCTGCATTGCAGTGCTCACCATTGCTTGTGCCCATGAGAGAAGCAGGCAGCAGAGGGATGGAGAGTGTTCTCGGATGATAAACTTCAGTCCAAGTTCATGGATTGAGCTGCCTGCTCTGCCTTGCTTTCCTCTTTTGCTCTTTTCAGATGCTGTATTTTACCATGTAGTAACAGGTTCCTGTTCTAGGCTTGATGCCTTGCTCCTCACTGAGCTGAGTGATTGTTCCAACTGCTGGTACGTACAATGGATTAAATGGCAGTGGTGTTGATGAAACTCCTGCTGCCTGCAGTGGGATTGAATTTCAGACATCCTCAGCTGGTGGAGATAATGGGGGAACAGAAATTATATCTTACTGTGATGTTCAGTGGAGAGGCAGGGAAGGCATGGGGAAGCTGGCTGTGCTGTTTGTAAGGAAACTAAACAGCCTTTGGCCTTTGGAATCAGTTCAGGAATAGAAATAAATATATAATTTTTTTCTCCTTAGTTTTCTTGTGGCTTATTAATCAGGTGGCTTTTGTATTCTGTGCTGTACTGAATGGTCAGGGCTGGGCCCAGACTCACTCTGCTGATAAATGGCTGAGCATGCACAATCTGCATCGGGGTTTTATTTTTTCCTTTGCTATTTGTCCTAATGCTGAAAGATCTGTCACTGTGATGATGGTTGCCAAAGAAAACTGAGTATATTTTGTATGTGTGTATATGTGTGTCTCCCCCAGAAACACTTATCTTTTTAAATCAGGAAGCTTTTGAAGCTATTCTCTTGAAGAGCAAATGTGACACTTGTGCTGGCTAGATCTTATGAAGTGACAAATAATTGGGGCTGTGCCTTGTGTGGGTTCCTCCCTCCCCTTCATTCTGTGTATTGTTCAAATTCTACATGATCTGTTTGCTGATGGCTCTTCAATAAAAGCCTTTTTAAAAAAAAATTGTTTGCTGGACAAACTATTGAAAACACAGAATGCAGCTATCCCCTTGGATCAGCCTAAAGCCTGATGCTGAGCTCACCAAGCCAGGTGCACTGGGCTTTCTGTAAGGATTCCAAACCAGACAAACTGCCCTGATTCATGAGACAGCATATTTGACATTAATAAATGGCTGGGGCAGTCCCCTCATTTTCCAGCTTTGGCTTCATTCACACTGCAGCCCTTCTTCAGAAAGGATTCTTTGCAGTTTAAAGGACAACTCCATTTTAGAACGACTCAGGCTAGGCTTCGTGTCCCCAAACTCTTAAAATTCCATTTCTGTTGAAAAGTTTTCTCAGCTTTGATGATATGCCTGATAGTTGAGTATTTTCCTAAGACACCAGGTGGCCTTTTCTGTTTCCAGTCTCCTCCTATCCTCTGCGAACAAAGCGAACCCAACACTGAATTTTTATCTTTTCAAACGCTCCTGTATCTTCTTTTCAACACAACATCTTTTTCCTTGTCTTGTGTTAAACATGTAATTTATGTTCAGACTCTGTAATCTGAACCTCTCATGCTTTTGAGCAAGGTAATTACTTAGAAAAACTATAGAGAACAAGACCAGAGAAGGAGCACAGGGGTGAAGGAAGAACTATGTAGGATTTGCCTGAAAGCTGTCCAATAGTTCCAGTTTTTACTTCAAATATTCTCTCACTCATGGACTTTATGATAACATGATATCCTTGATCTTTTTTGAAACTAATAAAAATTATTGTTTTTTTTGATTAAGTGCACTACAGTGAAGTTCATAGAAATACTATTCTATCTTCTGACATTAATTGATGTCCTGGTTTACTGTAAGCCAAGGAATGAAACTGGTAAAAGTAAATATAAATTTGGGGATCAGAAATTATTTAATTGAGCAAGCAAGAGCCTGGTCCAACTGTTCCCATGAATTGCTCAGAGTGCTACTCCAAGTGCAAATTTTGGGATAAGCATTTTCATGTTATATGGATAAAGACATGGGCATATTCATGCGCTGGGCTGTGAACAAATTATCTCTATATTGTTAATCAGCTTGTGTCTTCTCTCTTCCCTGCTAGTGAACTTATCGTCTCAGGAAATAGCTGCTGCTTTGTTTTTTGGAAAACACTTTTTAGTTTCAAGCAGCATAAGTAATTTAGAATTTCATTCCTCTCTTCTTTCTTTTCACTCCTTTCATAAGCCAAAAAAGTTACCTTCAGTAACACTTAAAACAACATGCAATTTTTCAACTTTTAGTTGTGTGAAATGACATTTAAAACAAAAAATAGGTTATGGTTTTTTTGTTTATTTGTGTTTTTTAAAATAATGTTACTATTCCATTCAGTTTCTGTCTGTGAGACTGATTTAGGTACCCTTTGGATCAGGTTCTTACTGCGTGGACCAGCTTATAAATTAGGTGACTTGTTTTTATGTTATTTTTAATTGATCCTACTTTTTACGTTTTTTCCCGTCAAACTGAGTAGTTGAAACTTTAGGTCTTATTTATCTCAAACATTCAGACTTCATCTTAAAATCCATGTACACATCCCTGAATGCTACCAAGATTTGTGGTTTGGCTACTTCAGCTAAATGTTGGCTCTCCTGTGTGTTTCGTACAGGTAAGAACAGGTTGGGCCATGGAAAATGGTTGATTTATCTTTCCAGTCGTATGATGATGGACCATACTTCATCTCAGGCTTATGTAAGTCAGAAATTATTGGAATTTAAAACTGTATGTTTCCCCCTCACTGGGGAAAATGCAGAAGGAAAAAGAATGAATGCTTTCCCCCAAGCATGAATCTTACTGGTGAACCTGCAGTTTGTGTCGATAAAAATGCGTTAGAATAATGGAATGTGGAGTATCTGGAACTGGATTTTGTTTTGCAAAGACATGGATTTTTATCCTTTGGCAGATTCAGAGTTCTGCAAGTGACATTGTCTTCTTTGCACTTGACTCTGTTGGAGCGGGAGGAAAACTAGTTACGGAAATCAGGAGGGGCAGTCAGGATGACAGGTGGTGAGGCTCTGCACTCCTTTGGTAGTTTCTTACTTCAGAGGTTTGGCTCTGTGAGGAGGAGCAGGTGTATGAGCTGGTTGTTCTCCATAGGTGACCACAGTGAATGCAATCAAGCTACCTACAATGGGGAAAAGTCCACTTTCACTTTGAAAGCTTATTTCAGTCCCAAGCAAACACGCACTTCTGACATGTCCATGATGAGGAAGGTTGTTAGGACAGATCTGTAATGCCCTCTGACCTGGCAAGGAGAGGTTTTAATTGAGCTATGCAGCCCAAAGAGTTAATAGGGCAGGGCTAAGGCTGCAGAGTCTAGGGAGGAAGCTAAATATGTTCTGCAACTCACTTTTTTTGTAGGGTAATTTTAATTTTGAAGATGATGAAATATTGGCAAAAGATATGAACGAAAGATGATATCTAAGGTCAATTCACAGTGCTTAAGTGCTTTTCAATTTTCCCCTTTTGTTGTTAAAAAATTCTGGTTTTATTGTGTAAAGGCGCTGAGCATTGCAGCTTCTACTGGTCTGAGTAGACTTGTGCTCCTATATTATTTTGATTCCTCGATTTCACAGGACTGCTTCCAGCTGCATGAACATCAGTGTTGCAGCCCTAAGTCAGCCTTTCTTTTTTTTTTTTTTCCTCCCAGCCCAACTTATTTTACCAGCAAATCTGAAACTATTTGATCCACATGCTTTAGGGCAGCTTCCTTCTCTGTATCCTTTCAATAATACAGGTCCAGTGAAGAAATTGCTCTACAACATTAGTTAGATTGCTGAAAGCTAATTTCATTGCTACCCTGGACATTGCTGAGTTGGGGACCTGCTTTGTCCTCTCTGCAGCCCTGTGATGGTGGTCCCTGTAGTCCTGGGGTGTGATGCAGAGAAAGCAATGCCCACAACAAGGAAGAGGGAGAATGTGCTCCTTTAGCATGGAGCACCTTACAGTTCTGCCCTCCAAGGCAGTAATAAGTTACATCAGCTGTTGCTTATCAGTTGGGTTTTGGGTGCCAGATATTCAGACCAGGGGTGCTTCAGGTGTAACCTGTGGGCCTCCCCATATGGAAAAATATATTTTCCATAGTCCTCACTGCTATGCCCAAATGTTTCCTCAGTGGGGAGTGAGGGCTCCCCAGGGTGGGTGGGGGCTGCCCAGCTCTCCGGGACTTTTCCCTCCACTGGTGATTTGCAAAATCTTTTCGTTCCATCCCCCAGTTTAGAAAGTAGGGGCAGCGAAACACTGAGACTGGGAATAGCAAATCCCTTCCGTTTGTCTTGTTGTTTTCTAATGTATGCGACCTCTCTGGGTGGTTTAAGCGGTTTAGGTACTTTCTATAAAAGGGATCTTTTAATGACAAAACTAATGTGATTATCTTACCAAGTGTGAGAGGCGTATTCAAGGTTTAAAGAAAATCTGTTAGAATAGCTGAATGTATCTGCTTAATCCTTTCTCTAATGTGGGTGGACAATGCTCTGGGAAGCAATTGGTCTTTCTTTCTTAGAGTAAATGCCTGGTCTCCAGAGGTAGGAACTTGTTTGCAGCTTTTTATACCCTTACGCTTCACCTTCTAGAGAATACAAAGGCGCGGAGAGAGCAGAGAGCTTTGAGAGGCCAAGTTTCACCTCAAATAGCTGGGGGTGTAACCAATACAGGGCCAATTCCAACAGGCGGCTGAGCACTCTCTGCTCCCTTTGACTGCCACCTGAATAGAGGGTCCTCCTTTTTGCCCTCCTGCAAAACCACATTCCCTGCAACGTGAAATACAGCAACTCTTTCTCCTTTCTGAGCATGCGGTGAGGTTGCCCACAGTTACTTGGATGACAAGACCCTGTCTGGTTTTGTGCTTTGCGTGAGCAGTCCTTCCCGCGTGGATCCGTGGCTTTAGGAAATTCTCCAAAGGTCCTGTTTTCCATATTAAGCTCTTGGAAAGGTTTAGATCTGTTGACAAGTTATTGCAGTGATACTTGAGCAGTAGTGAACACAGCTGTGCTTGGACAGGGAAGATGGCACGAAGGGGTGGTGCTGTGGGATGCAGACACAGCTTGACCCCCGCTGGTACCTGTGCTGTTCATAGGTCTGTGCTTGTGAATCTTTGATTTCTGCATGTCCATGTGGATGCATAGTTCTTAGAAACATTAGGAAACCCTGTTGTCAGCAACAGTTGGTAGAACCCCCCCACCTTGCTGAAGAGTTTAACAAAGCAAGTGGTGGCTCTGGGACTCTTTTAGCACATGGATTTGGCTTTATAGCAGAGACAAATAAGTTGCATTTTGTTATTTGTTATCTCAGCATCCTCAAAACAGCACATCAGGAGGAAAATTATGTGGAGCTATTGCCTTCCCAGTTGGAATGAAACACTCTGTGTCCTCTCACCACCCAGTAGAACAATACAGGGAAAAGAGGTACCTCAACATCAGTGTGTCTTCTTCACAGAGACAGGCACTCGGCTATAGTTCTAGGTGCTTCTCTGGCTACCTCAGCTGTCGAGTTGGCATTGGGTTCTCTGCTGTGGAAACAATATATTCAGAAACTTAGTGCACAATCTGAAAACTGGTCCCAGATTGTATCAAACTGAGTTTTTGGAAGGAGGGAAAAGCAATTTGTACAAATCAGGCCTTGACATCTCCCCAGCACATTGCTGTACAATCAGTAATCATAGTTCAGGTTGAAGGGACCTCAGTAGGTCTCTGGTCCACCCTCCTGCTCAAGGCAGGGTCAGTTACAGGGTCAGACCAAGATGCTCAGTGATTTATCCATTTGGGTCCAGAAAATCTCTAAGGCTGGAGTCTGCACAGCCTCTCTGAGCATCTTGCTCATCTGTCCACATGATGGAAAGGTTTTGCATCTAGTTCTAGTTTACATGTGTTTCATTCCTCCCACCATCCACCATTATGAAGAGTCCTTTGTGTCTTCTCGATCAGCCCTGCAGGCACTGGAGGCTTCTGTTAGGTGTCCCTAAAGCTGTTCCTTTTCCAGGCTGAATGAGTCC